CAAATGATGGACAGTGTACCTGGGGGGTAGCTTATCCGGGGGGTTATTGCGGAAATAACTAGAGAGAAGTCAGAGCAAGTAAGAGGAGAGAGAGTCGATTTTATTAAATGAACTCGAGATGTGTTGGGATCCTTTACAAGAGAAATAAGGGCTGCTATTTATAGCAACAATAAATGCGATGAGAGTACACGTGTCAGTAATCCAACGGCTGAGGGGTCACCTCAATCGGGGTGGCACCGGCAATCGCACGTTCACCGCATTAAATGCGGTGGGTGGATGTGACGTCACATTAAATGCGGTGGTTGGCTGTCTCCAAAGGGAATCTTCGATGATTGAGTCGGTTTAGCCGAAGGCTCCTCGTGCAGTCAAGGGCTTCGTGTGGCCGAAGGATCTGTGTAGCCGAAGGCTTGGTTCAGCCGAAGGCTTCTCTGAACCCGAGGGCTCAACAGTGCCGAAGGCTCCTGTTTTCTGCCATTTTCTCCCAGTATCTTTGTGTGCTCAAATATGGCTGTTCTGTGAGTTTTAGAGCCTTCGGCCATATTGCCGAAGGCACCCTTATGTGCACCGCGGGCCTCCTTGAGCTTGGGCCGCAACAATTTGGGCCTCCTGAGCTTCTTGGGCTTGTTGGGCCTGTGATAGAGTAGTAGGAGTCTGTGGGCCGGGGGTTCCCGGGCCATATACTCCATCAGGTACCATGCCGGTTCGGTAATTTTGCCCACCCCTAACTTTTAGTGACTATAATTGTGTTCAAAGTTACTATGTAGTGACTATGATATAATTTGTGAACACAGTTATAGTCACTAAAAGTTATCAAGTAACATTTTTGTCCATGACTATTTTATTATTAATATTTTAGGGAAAAACTCAAAAAAAAAAATGTTCTTTTCATTGGAATATATAGACTGAAAACATGTTTAGTTAATGAGTTAAAAAATAAGACATACTCAATAAATTAGATTATGAATTTTGAAAGAAAAGTTATAATCAGTTACATAAGTGATTTTGCGTTAGTAATATTAACAAGTAAAACCATTTTATCTCGTGCACGACACGGGTAAAGATACTAGTGTTGTTCTATTTATTTACTATTTTTACTCAACACTATAAATTTACACGTGCATATTTTTGAATAAATAAATAAATAAATCTAATATCTAAAATAAACTCGACCCTTTTAGTTCTGTTTTATGCAAATTACTTGAATACTGAGTTGCGTTGATTTAGATCAAGTTTTAAGTAAGTTTTAGAAAAGAAATACGGAGTATTACATTACTTAATGAGTATAAGTATTTAGATTTAGTTTTATTTTTCTATTATGTGGGGCCTCGATCTTTTATTAGGAGTTGAGACATCCAAATTTATTATACTGTCTTGTCATATGCCTTTTTTAGTCTTTATTTTCTGGAAAGGGTAGCAGGAATATTCATGATTTAGTATAGTGCGTGATTGGCACGGTACGGCAATATCATCTAGAAGGTATTTCTAGTATTTATCAAGAATTGTACACTAATTAAATGATATCTATAGATAATACATCTATAGATAATACATCTATCTATAGATAATACATTTGAAGGTTACAATTAAGAAAAGTTTTGTCACATGTCAATTCCACAATTATTGTTTTAAATAATTACTTTCCAAAGTAAGAAGTTTATTATTCCCAAATAATACTCCGTATTAATACTCGGTATTACTCATGGAGTACGTATATGGTACAACCGGCTGTACGGTGAGCACCGTACAGCCGGCCCAGGAACAGGCCCAAGGGGAAAATAGCAAAATAATTCGGTGGCGTTTTTGTAATTAATGTAAAAATCGCGGTTTCTGCAAAATGAGCATCAGTGTACTGTTAATGAGCAATAGTCCAATTGTAATGAGTATTAAGCGTCCAATAATGAGCACCGCGTTATTACAAAAAAAGTTGATATCACAATTTAAAAACGGTGTCATTTTCGTAATTTCAGTGAAAATCGCGGTTTTCATTAGATGAGCATTAATACACTTTTAATGAACATCAGACGTATTCTACTGAGTATTAAGAGTAAAATAATGAGTATTGTGATATCAACTTCATATATTGTAATTCACTTTGTTTTTCTTATTTTTTTATAAAAGCTCATTAAATTATATCTATAATCAATTCCTATGAATTTCAATATGTGAATCTAATGTAATATGGTACTTTTGAAATAATGAATTGGTATGACATTTTAAAAATGAGCATAACATCGTTACCAATTGAACATATGTAACATATAAAATGAGCATTTATATGAAAAACGTAAGTTTTTTGTTCATATTTTAATTGAGTATCAAATCTCCTCTATTGAGTATTAGAATTATGCGGTTGAGCATCATGGTATGTGCTCTCATGTCTATAATCAAGTCTTATGTAAAAATATAATGAGTAGAAGACGGGTACCAAATCAGCATAGATAATTTACAAAATGAGTATCAAAAAATTCAATTGTTCAGTTGTGTATGCTCATTCATTTTGGGTCTTATACTCATTCGAGTTTAACATATTGTAATATAATACGCAGTAAGTTTGAAATGTGAAACATTTTAAAATGAGCATTGCACTAATATTAAATGAGTATACATTACTTATGAAATGAGCAACCAAAAATTCAAAAAGCTCATTTAAAATCTATGATACGCTCTCATTTGTGCACCTCATTTGAATTGTCTAGTATGCTCAAATCTGTATTTGTGTATGCTCATTTAATTTTTTTTAACTTGCTCAAATATTGAATTATGTATGTTCAATATTGTATGTTCAAAACTTTTAACCGTTATACACATTTGTTATAAACACTATACTCATTTTCAATATAACATAAAATTTAAGTTAGTAAATAATAAGTAGAAAATATTAATATGTGCGAGTACATTATTAAAATATAATATTAAAATACAATATTAAATTAGAAGTTGTAATTTGTCTTTGGGGGATTCCATAACTAAATACGGAGCAGAATTCAAGATTTTGCTTATAGAGCAGCTTTGGGCTTTGGCAACTCACAGAACTGTAGCGGAAGTTCTTTGCGTTTTTCCTTCTGCGGAACTTGGCAGGTGGTCGGCGCATCGATCGGAACTTTGCGGAGAGTAGCGAGCGAGCAGTATCCAAGACCAAGCGAGGAGCATCGATCGGCTCTTCCACCTCCCAGGACATCAACGCGCAGCACAAAAGAGAAGACCTTGAAATTATAATTAATTGAAAAATACCCGGTTGTACGGTGAGCACCGTACAACCGGGTGTACGGTATAATTTACCTTACTCATGATGATTTCACTTCACCCACGCCCCACCCGTCCACCCATACCAACCTTAGGTTCCTCGCCTCCCATATTTTTCAATTTATTGTTACATTTGAAACTTTTTGTGGACAACGCCTTTCGTGGCAAATAGCTTTCTAATTTACGAAATTTTACAAATTCTTTTTCTTGTTTATAAAAGAAAAGTTAGAGTCGTAAAGTGAATTTTTATTGGGCCATTCAATTTTTACAATTCAATTCGTCAAGAAAGGAGAATATTTTACTCCCTAATTTTTCGAAGTTAAGTTGAAAAACATGAGCTTGAGCTACCTGCAACCAACAATGGCAAATCATTTAATTGTTCATACGAACATCCAAAACTTAAAAAATGAATTAATATGCTTACAAAATTAGGGTAAATATAATTTATTTATATGATACGGAGTACGTTACATACTTCTTAAATGTTGCTCTATTTATTTACTATTATTACTCAATACTATAAATTTACACGTGCATATTTTTGAATAAATAAATAAATAAATAAATATTAAAATAAAGTTTACCCTTTTAGTTCTGTTTTATGCAAATTACTTGAATAGTGAGTTGTGTTGATTTAGATCAAGTTTTAAGTAAGTTTTAGAAAAGAAATATTACATTACTTAATGAGTATAAGTATTTAGATTTAGTTTTATTTTTATATTATGTGGGGCCTCGATCTTTTATTAGGAGTTGAGACCTCCAAATTTATTATACTGTCTTGTTATATGCCTTTTTTAGTCTTTATTTTCTGGAAAGGGTAGCAGGAATATTCATGATTTAGTATAGTACGTGATTGGCACGGTACGGCAATATCATCTAGAAGGTATTTCTAGTATTTATCTAGAATTGTACACTAGTTAAATGATATCTATAGATAATACATTTGAAGGTTACAATTAAGAAAAGTTTTGCCACATGTCAATTCCACAATTATTGTTTTAAATAATTACTTTCCAAAGTAAGAAGTTTATTCCCAAATAATACTCCGTATTAATACTCGGTATTACTCATGATAACGGTTCTCTTAATTGAATTGGTGACGTATACGAATCTAATAATTCATAAAATCCTATGTTTTCTTAAAGTAGTATAACTTTTATATTTGAACTCCAATTGTTATAAAAAATATATCAAAATTTATAACTTTTTTATCTTTCAAATGACACGAATATTGAATATACAAAAATAAAAAATAGTTTAACACTTTAAAAACGTCTATTTTTTTAAATATTATAACTTTAAGAATGATCCTCTACAGTGTTAAAAATGTAATATTTTTAATATTTGATGATTAAATTATCTTAAAAAAGTTCTAATTATTTTCTAAATTAAAAATGACAACTTTTCTATGACAACCAAAAAAGAAAAGTGAGAACTTTTAGTTGAATAGAGAGAACAGTAGCTTTGATAAGCTTTCAAAGCGGTCCAGTCCAGTTGGTCGCAGACTCTTTCTCCCTTACTGGAGGTCTCGGGTTCGAAACTCAATAGACTGAATTTCAGTCCTCATTTACTCCAGGCCCCCCGGCCCCCCTCCTACAAATGCCCCCTGGAGTAAAATAAAAACTTAAGTGCATTCAATAGCCAATTTTGATTGGTGTAATGACACTCCGTCGTCTAAAAATGAAGATGTTCGGAATTTGGTAAAGGTTGGTGTAATATACAGAGTACTATTTTAAGCAAGTAATTTTTCAATGTCCCAAAACAATTGTTAGTTTCATTTTAATCAATTACACAGTTTTTACATAATTCTAAGGGATACCGGCACCCTTGCCGGCAGAACTCCTATGGTTACAACAACGAACAGACCAGGGGGAGAGCCGCGGATTTCTGAAGATTCGTCAACCATCCTTATCGGATTAGTTGTTGTTCACTTCTCAGGGAGCAATCCACAGCAACACAAATCGGCCACCTGTGCGAATCCGGAGGAGTCTACTGACCGACAACATCTGACTGACAATGGCCACCCATTGCGGCGGACGAAGGCGACTAAGACTGCTATCAGAAGGGATGTGCCTTACCTGAGACGACGGGGCCATACAATTGGCGCTCGTGGGGATTCGGCTTTGGATCCCTCTTCCCCTTCTCAGACGGACCTTCAGCAGCGGACTGCACACAGAAGGGGATTGCCTCCTTGGCGACAACAGCAGAACATAGTCGGAGTTGGTAAGCTTACGCGCAGACCTGCGACCGGCCAAAATCCTGAATAGAATATTGGCGGGTCTGCATCCAGACGGCGTGGTGACCTAGTCGGCGAGGTCCAGTCTGCATCAAGGGGCTCTCTCCGCCGACTGCAGCAAAGGGCTGTCCACTCCCGTCAATACTATCCCAAAGCCAAGTTTCAAAATTTCTCCCGGAGACAATTCGAACAGGTCATGGCTATTCCTGAAGGCTTTGAAACTTTAATTGAAAGTAAAATCTTTCAATTCAAAATTACTAATCGGAATGCTATTCATATATCTGAAATGAAGTTTGTGGTTTTATCTACTATTGATCTTGACTTGAAAAGAGTCTCTTGGCTGAAAGAATCCATTACAAAACTTTATTCTGATACTTGGTCATCTCCTAAACTTGAGCTGAAGGATCTTTTATTACTTTATGATTCAAATGTTTATGGAGGTTTTATTCGCATCATTGAGAAGGGACATGATTCTCTATTTATACCTGAAGGATGGAATGGATTGGGTATTAAGCGTTTTCTAATAGGTATTACGAGATCCATTAATTTGATGAAAGAATTGGCAGTGCGAATGACAACCTCGAATTCTTCAGGCTTTGTTGACACCAAACCTGCCATGGATCTTTTTACTCCTTGGTTGGATAGGGATCTCTCTTATGAGAATGTTTCATCTATTTCGGGATCGTTGTTTCAAGTTGATATTGAACGTTCTGTCTGTTTTGATAAATCTCTGGTGTTGGATTCTAGTGAGGATCTGTGTACTTCTCAGCTAATATAAAAAATTGACTCCCTTTTGGATTCCATTCAGACTTGTATGACTAATGGGGTGAATTCACTTTCTCAATTTTTAATCAAAGAATTTGATAGAATGCTTTTGGTAAATCGAGAGTCTTTTTCTACTGGAAAAAATGAGAAAGATATCAATGCAAACCCAGAGGTCAATTTTTCAAGGGATGTTTTCCAGGGTAATCAGTGCTCAATAGGGCTTGATTGTGAAGACGTGTTTCCTGAGAAGATATTATCATATTCGGGAGATGAATTTCTTGGTCATGCTTCAGAAAGCGAGAAGAGAACTCCCAATTCATCGATTGAGGATTTATGGGACTCAGACACCAATAAGGACGTTTGTCATAAGGCTGACCTAGTCACAAAGGAAAACTGTTTGCCTACACAGAACCTCAACACTCAAATGAAAATTTACAGGAAAAAGCACCAGCGATCTCACCATATGAGGACAAGATCCCAAGCTCGCGTGGACGAACGGGCTTATGAGTCTTGAGGGAACCTACTATTTGATGGGGCTATTTTATAGGGTGTCTTATAATTTAATACTTTTTGCAGGGCATCTGTATTCATTTTTGTTTATGTTTCTTTTTTCATCTTTTCTTTGTACTCTGTTTTTCTCATTAACAAAAATTTCCTTTTGCAAAAAAATAAAACATAATTCTTCTCCATTCCGGTCAAATTGGAAAAACTTTAATGGACAGAGAGAGTACTTTTGAAAGACTCCGAATCTATTATATATGTACATTAACTTTGGTTGTTATTTTAGCGCAAATAACTTTCGAGCACCGTTTAGAGATACCCCTTATTTTTCTCTAACTATCTCGACAATAGGACTTTTCGAGACCATTGGCTTGGTGGAAAATCCCAACTTTATCCCTTTAGGGGTACTAGTAAACTCACCCGTGCGATGCACGGTTTGAGTATTTTTCTTTCAAATTTATGTGTGCTTAGTAATTCAAATCACACTATCAATTGATGACATTATCTATCTTCATGTAATACTGATATAAATCAAGCATTAAACGAAACACACTTATAATATTATGGTCAAAATGAGAGTACTAAGCATTATTTAAAAGATCAAAAACATCCAACAAATACGTTGAAATCATAACATTGTAAATATGCATTTAATGTAAACTTAAACATTGTTGAACACTTCTTTGAATACAACATTCCGAGTTTTGTTAGTGGTTCCTCCATCTTCATCAACAATTAGAATTTTCAAACCACAATTATTGGTAACCCTTGATACTGCAACATACAACTGTCTGTGGGTAAATGCCGATTTTTTCAACAACAACCCAACACAGGACAAAGATTGACCTTGACTTTTATTTATTGTCATAGCATACGAAGTCATAACAGGATGTTGTCGCCTATGAAATTTGAAAGGCAAGCTGGCATCGGATGACGTCAAGGACAATCTAAGAATTAATACTTTTTGTCCAGCACTCATACCAGTGAATCCAAAGGCTGATCATCGCGAAAGATAACACTTTGTTCTTCCGGAAAATGGAAGCTCATACGTTCAACTGCCGGGGTCTTATATTGAATTTCAAACCCAAATATGCGCCAAGTAGCCTCGCACGCAGAAATGTATCTACAGTCATAGTACATTTGTATCTCATTGACTGATCGTGCATCGCACGGTTGGTGATTTCTTTCCTAAAAAATGTACATAACTACACAATACATGTACTATTGAAAGAGTCCCACCTTAGAGGAAATGCGTTGAACGCTCATGCGATGCGCAGTTGGTTAAATTCCACATGTGTAGTTAGTTTTAATCAAATTTATTTTGAAATAAAACTAAACTTGTAATTTTAATTGAACATGACTAAAAAAGTTATACTATATATACTATATAAAGTTTTTTATAGCATGTATCACGCCCTATAATGTTGATTGGTTATCATTAACCCAACCACACAAAGTTGAATATGACTAAAAAGGGCATCTTCAACAACAAAACCAATGCGCCACAATGAGTGCTAAAATTTGAAGTTGTTAATAGGAATGCTTAGGAATCAACACATTTTAGCTCGTACTAACTTATGTCAAAATCATTTCTTTTAGTAAAATGTTTTGTTAGTAATTCACCTTGAAGGTAAATGTTATGTCAAATGATTTTGCCAATTTTTTTTTGGAAAAATTGAAAATAATAATCCCAACTATTGCTGGTCCGCTGAAAATAATCCCAACTATTGATTATTTTTGTATAATCCCAACTATATAGACTATCCGCCAATAATGGTCCATGACCATATATTACCTCTATAAAAAGTGAATTTTAAATAGAAATTAAGCGTAAAAAATAAAAGTTGAGATTATTTATAGGGATTACTTTTTATATCTTATCTCATCCACTTAAGAAACTACAAGAATTTATTCATAGGGACCATTATTGGCGGAAGGTCCCTAAAGTTGGGATTATTCTGTAATAATCAATAGTTGGGATTATTATGAGCGGACCACCAATAGTTGGGATTATTACTATCAATTTTTCCTTTTTTTTTTCATTTTCAAAGGTTTATAAAAAATAATTGAAGGTAAATTATTTATAATGACTAAGTAATACCGTGACTAAATTTACACGAATTGCATTTTTTATTCAAAAAAAGTAATAAGGTGACTAAATTTACACAATTTGCATTTTTAGACGAATTGTCTCTTTAAATAGGTAAAATAAGGGAGTAAAATATGTGAAAGTGTGTTATGTCATTCTTGAATTATACTTGAATCTAAATTTGTGCGAAAATGTTCAAATATGTGCTTCTACTATTTCTAATATCCAAATATGGTCTGGTTTGGTTTGTTTACGTTTGATTTGGTCTGAGACTAAAATAAGTCTAAGTATAAATATCCTAAGTAATATGGTAACTATGCATTTATACGAATTGCATTGTTTACACGAATTGCCCTGGTAAATTAGCAATTCAGGGGGGGTGCAAATATGTGAAAGTGCGTTATGACATTAGTAAACAATACTCAAATACTCAAATATGAATTTGTGAGAAAAATGTTAGTTGAGTCAGCATATGAAAAGTAATGCTATCATTTAAGCACAATAACTTTCGAAACACATTCAATAGGTAGATTCTATCCAAAGACATTCAATAGTATGGTACCCACGCGATGCATGGGGCATGGACATGAATTTATTCATAAGTTATTTAATTTTTATTTGACACTAATAATGTGTGATACATAAAAATAATATGTAAAAAGAAATTGTAATATATAAATATTAGAGTGAGATACAATGTAATAATCACAGATGATGGAACATTTATTCGTTTTTTGTACACTAAAACATTTCTTCGTTTTTAATGAGAAATTTCAGACCTGCACGATTTTTCACTCTGGAATGGGCGACATACAATCGTCTAAGACTTGATTATGTTTTTTTAATAAAAGACCAATGCTAGACCGCCTAGACACCGATTGTCACTAACTTTTATTAACATTCATCACTTAAGAAGTCATTATAGGGAACTGCCTCTTTTCCCAATCTAAGCGAAAGCCCAACATCACCTTCTAAGATGTGATCAAATATCATAGTTATGATGAGCCTCACTCATTTCAATCAAACACGTAACTTTTGGTAACCATGTTTTTTGGTTTATCAGACTTATCAATAACTTTTTCATCAAACACGTAACTTTTGACTTTGTGCGTTGAGTTGTGTAATAATAAGAAAAAGTAAGGTTGAATTTACTTTTTCTGACTCTAATAACTCAAGTTACTGTAGAGAATCATTTTTATTAACTATTCAAGAAAGAAAATTTTCTTTTCTTTTATTAATAAAGATATTATAATTATAATTTCTTCATAAATCAGCAGAATCAGTGTTCAGCCACTTCAGCCAGAACTTAATAAATTTCAGTAGAATCAACCGATTGAGCCAATTTGAGTGTTAACAAATGGGCTCTAAATCAAATACAACAAATTAGGTTTTATCAAAATGACTCTTACAATGAGAAAAATTACTTATAAGACTTTATGTAATTGATCACCTAATTTAAAATTTGGAAATACTTAATTTTGATTTTGATTTTTATTTATTTATAACATAACCAAATTATCAATTCATTAAAGGGAAAATGGAAATTAATAATCCAACCTTTTAGCGGTCTTCTTTTAATAGTCCGACCTTTTCGTTATTCATGAATAATCCAACCTTTGCACCTCATCTTCATTCACTGGTCCCCGACCGGTTGACGATCTGCTATTCCGAGTTATTTTTTTATCTCTGCAAACTATTATACCATAAATTTCACCTTTCACAAAGATAACTATATTACAGCAAAAGGACAGACTCTGTGTATTCAGAACTTCTACTCTCTTCACTCGAAGTTCACCTTTGCTATGAGGACATCCAGTATGACGATGAGTTTCCAATCCGAAATGCTTATTCCCAGACGAATCCAATGAGCTAATGATAAAGCGTCTAGAGTGACTTGTACTTCTCAGCTACAACGCTTAGACGGACACAATTTCGGACCTTTGTATTGTGGAGATATATGTACATATCTTTATTGAATCTTTGTTGCCCGATTCTTCGAAGGCGGGTCAACCTCAGGAATCGCGACCGAATAAGGGGATGTCCTTTCTATTCGAATAAAACTGAGCCAAGTATGAAGGTAAGCAAGTGGATTGCTTGGGAATTTCCTTCCATTGGCTGCATTGAAATAGGTGTTCAGTTCGCAAGCTTCACCCAAACGATTTCACTCAAAGCATCTTCTGAATATGCTTATGTGTGGGATGTTATTCTATATCTTGATTCGGAAAGATCACTTTCAGAACGGATGCATCTAAATCTCTCGCTTGCCCACTTGATCTTTTTGTGGCTTTGCCGAAGTTATTGCACATAAGAAAAAAATAGTGGACCCCCTCCAGGAGCTAAACGGGAAGCGATTTCTTATCATTTCAGATGCGCCTGGGCTCTCAGTGTTTTTATGGGGGGGGACGTTTACCTCTTTCTCATTGTAATGGGAAACAATTGGGGATGAACAATGTCCCCCGGGAGTTGAGACAATTAAATTTTACTAAAATAGTTTCTTTTTTAAAAGAAGGCGAATCTATTTTCTATTTTGGAATGCAACGAACAATCTATCTAGTTACTTCGTCCAAGCTTTCTTAGTTACCTTTGTACTGGATCAGACGAACCAGCCATGGCCTTAAACTTTCTCTTCTCTCCAGAACTCGCGCGATCCATGAGAAATGCTTGTTGCGTTTTTAAACAAGGAGAATTCGGCTCTATTTAATGAAATGGAGCGGTTTTTGAAATCAAACGAAAACGGTAAACCAGAAATGAATTAACAAATATGAAGCAAGACCTGCCTATCTATTCAATTTGATTAGTAAAGGGCTTTTCCCTGACTAGTAAAGTGGTAAGGTAGGGCGCTATTCGATGAAGAAAATAGACTTTAGGTTAAAATAGAAGACAGACTTTGAGTAAACCAAAAACACCATCCTTTAAAGAAAGCGTAATAGCTCACTGGTCTAGCTCCATGGCACCGAAAATATATCAGGGCTCAAGTGATTCACCGAAGCGACGAGACCTTGAAAGCTGCTTTTTCAAGATGCCCCGAGGTCCCTTTATTCATTTTACTCTGATAGATGGTTTGAGTTTAGATAGACCTAACTTGGAAAAGCCGATCTCTCTAGCCTGGCTACCTTTCAAGTCG